CCTGTAGCTCTCCAAGTAGGCTAAGTTGTTGGGCTAGCAACCTAGAGACTACCTGTCTCTGCTTCCCCAGCACTAGGATTACTAGGGGAAATTCATGTCTGGGCTTTCATTTTCTGGATTGTGGGAACTGAACTCAGGTCTTGCTACTTGCACGACAAATATTTTATGATTGAGCCATTTCCCCAGTCCCATCTCCCTCATAAACTCAAAACTTTAAATAAAAAAATATTTCTTTCTAGGATATCTTACTCATTTGGCATGTAATTGCTGTTTTGATTTTTTTCTTAACATTAAGAATTCTAAATTATGTTATAATTTTAGTCTACCTTTTCAGAATTACATTTTAATTATGTTTAATCTTCTTCAGTATCTTTTAGTTTCCTATATTTGTGTGTTTACTGGAGACAGGGTTTCACTCTGTAGCCCAGATTAATCTGGAACTGTGGCAGTCCTCCTGCCACAGACTCCTGAGTGCTGGGATTGCAGGTGTGTGCCGCCTTTCTAGCTTCCTGTTGTTTTTATAGGTGAGGTCACATAGCTGTTGATTTTATGTTTGTGGTAGTTCTGAGGTCTGTTAGTTTGAAATGTTTAGTTTTTGCTGCATTTGCATACTAGCTTTTTCCTCCCTTGCTCCTCTTTTTTCCTTTCCTCTTTTCTTCTCTCTTGACTTCTCTTACTTTCTAGTCTTATTTTTGGTTAACAAAAAGAGGTAAAGTGCTAAATACATATATTGCATTTATATATGGCCCCTGAAAAGATCTACTGCCCAACAGGACTTTAATTTGGAGCGTCTATTTTGCTAGCTCTCTTACAAATTGTTGAACTGCAAAACCCCATGCATGTATAATAAATACCTTTATTTTGTGTAACTTGAGTTGTTAATAATATTTACTGTGCTTAGGCTGATTACACATTTTGAGGATAATATTGTTTGATTTGCCTTGGGTTTATGTTAAGGGAAATATCATGCTTACTGAATGATTAATCGATCTTCCCTGACATTCTCTTTCAGTTCCAAGTAGATTTCAGGTTTTTTTTTGTTTTTGTTTTTTTGTTTTGTTTTGTTTTGTTTTGTTAAAGAACAGCTTTGGTTTGTAGACAAATGTCAGACAGTATAGAGTTCCTGTTTGTTTTTTTTTACCAAGTTTCTCCTATTAGCCATAACAAGAAGGCATGTTTATAGCCATGTGATATATACATATTGTTAACTGAAGGCTGTTCTTTTCCCTTTTATGTTCTATGATACCATTTGAGTTCTATGTTATGTTTAGTTGTCTTTTTTTCTTAGACTGCTTTATGGATTTTTGGATTTTTCTTTATTTTTGATGACTTTGAAACATGTTTCCCTAACATTTTTGATAAGGAATTTTTAGAGTACTTAATCTTAAAAATAATTGGCTATCATTTGATATGGAGGAATAAGCATATAAAGTAGGGATCTGTGTACATATACATTGAATAGAACCATTTGCTGCTTATATACTTGTATTATCATGGACTAGAAGATGGAAAGATTTTTGTCTCATTATATTAAAAAGCAATAAAACTTGTACAGAAATAAAAAATGAAATTTGCCACAGTATAAACTTCTGAGTACCCTCTATATTATATAGAAATGTAAGTATTTGGGAATACTGAAAAATTAAATTTCTCTGAAGATTTTGGTTATACAGAACTAAATTTTTCAAGGACTAAACTTTTTCATTTTCAAGATCTTGAAATTCAGGACTATACTTAATTCTAATGTACTGTCTTAGGGTTACTATTGTTAAGATGAAATACCATGACCAAAAGTACATTGGAGAGGAAAGGGTTTATTTTTATTTGGCTTACACTTCCACATCTCTATTTATCATCAAAGGAATTCAGGAGAGGAACTCAAACAGGGCCAGAACCTGGAGGCAGGAGTTGTTGCAGAGGCCATGAAGGGGTGCTATTTCTGGCTTGCCCCTCATGGCTTGTTCAGACTGCTTTTTTATAGAACTCAGGACCACCATCCCAGGGGTAACACCATCCACAAGGGTCTGGGTCCTCCATTGATCACCAATTAAGAAAATGCCATATAGGTTTGCTCATAACCTGATTGTATGGAGGCATTTTCTCAATTAAGGTTTCTTCCTCTAAACTTGTGTTAAGTTGATATAAACGATCCAGCATATGTACTAATGCCCACTTTTCTTTCAACAAGTGTTTACTGAGTGTCTGTTTGCTACAAGAGATTTTAGGTATACAATAATGAACAAAAATAACAAAGTCTTTTTGTTTTCCAAGTTGTAAAGAAGACAATAAATTAGAATTAGGTAGAGTAAAATAAAAGATGATGAATAGGAAGTGCCTACAGGGAGGGCAGATTGTAGTTTTACTAAGCAGAGTTGCTAGGAAGTCCTAGCTGGGTGTTGGTGGCACACCTTTAATCCCAGGACTTGGGAGGCAGAGGCAGGAGGATCTCTGTGAGTTCGAGGCCAGCCTGGTCTCCAGAGCCGAGTACCAGGATAGGCTCCAAAGCTACACAGAGAAACCCTGTCTCGACCCCCCACCCAAAAAAAAAAAAAGAAAAAGAAAAAGAAAAAGATTTTCTTTAAGTCCTAATCTAGTGTTGAAGCAGAAAATCCAGGAGAGTTTGGAGCCTAGACCATAAGTGAGGAGGATGTTTCTAGGCAGTGATCATTTGTGATAAATACTGCTGTCAAGTTTAGGGTTGGAAACTAGCCATTTATTTTAGATGTCAATGTTGAGGTTCTTGGTAACTTTGAAAAGGACATTTTGATAGAGGAATAGGGCAAAAGCATAATCATAAAGGGTGGGAGTGGGAAAGTTATAGACAATGGAAAGAAACAACTCCTTTGAGTAAAATGGTATAGAAATGTGTGGCTGGAGAGAGGGAAGCATTTTGAGTAAACAATCCAGCATACTGCATCAAATAAACAGTAACATGTTTGTGTGCTAAGAGAAATTGCTGAGGAGACATTGAAATGAGTGATGACAATACAGAGAAAGAAGACAGTTGAATATTGTCCACGAATAGGCAAGAGGAGATGTGATCTAGTTTGTAAGTAGAAAGGTTGGCTTTTGATAAGAGTTGATGACAGTTCTGCTCTAGAGACAAAGGTAGATACAGATGGGGAGTTGGAATTGTCTTTTGATTGTTTTAAGATAAGGTCTCACACTGTAGCCTAGGCTGGTTTTGAACTCTGGGTAATCCTCTTGATTCATCCTTTGGGAATATAGGCATACACCACCATGCTTGGCCTTATCTTATTTTTTTATATCTGGGGGAGGTATAGTTGAGGTTTGAAGAACAGATATGAAATAATTCTTTAGGTAAGAGAGAATATAGGTTTGAAAATGTAGAAAGTATGAAGGAATAGGTACCTAAATAGCAAAGCATGGTTTTTAAATAACATTTTTATGACTGCTTAAATTATTTTATTATTCCAGAATATACATGTATTTATTACCATATTAAAATTATTTTTTTTATTCTTGAAAAGCAAATCTACTGTTTGAAATTTTCACTAATTCTGTTGTTTCCTTTTTTTTTATATAATAGGGAGAGTTATTATAAAAAGATGTGACCCATACCTGGGTAGTGATTTTATTATATTGAATTAACTTTTAAAATGTCAGTAAATAAACAAATCAAGTTGGCTTTTTTTTTTTTCCTTTTTTGGTTGTTGTTTTGTTTTGCTTTTGTTTTTTCAAGCAAGGTTTCTCTGCATAACAGTCCTTTCTGTCCTGGAACTCACTTTGTAGATCAGGCTGGCCTTGAACTCATAGAGATCCACATGTCTTTCTGCCTCTGCTGGGATTAAAGGTGTGTGCTACCACCACCTGGCTAATTTTGTTGTATAAATATGTACAGTTGAATTATGGATTCATAAAAAGAGTTCTCTAGTTTTGATGTTATGTAGAAGTCTCATTATTAAGTGGTTAGATAGTGTCTTTTGGGTCTACAAAATTTTAGTAAACGTCATTTATGGTTGTAGCTAATATGATATAGTTGACATTAAGTCTAGATTATATTTATTATTCTCAGAGATTCGTCAGCGAACTGCAGCTCAAAGAAACCTTTCCCCAGCACCAGCAAGCTCTAATCAGGGCCCTCCTCCAAAAGTTCCAGTGTCTCCTGGGCCATCAAAGGATGCCTCAGCTCCTGGGGGACCTCCAGAGAGGACTATTGCTCCAGCCTTACCCAGGCGTCTTGGATCCCCTGCTACTTCAGTGCCTGGAATGGGTAAACAGAGCACTTAATGTTATTTACAGTTTATATTGTTTTCTCTGGTTACCAATAAAATGGGCCATTTTCAGACAGTATGGAAATGGCATTTCATTTGGAAATAGCAGAGCAGTTATCTGATTAAGCAGGAGTTCCATATTCAATTAGCTATAACTCTTTACAGCTGGCACCTTGTGATACCAAAACCTATTTCTTGAGCTCATTTAACTGTTATGGCTTCTTTGTTTAAATGGCAATAAAACTTTGTAGCATTCTGTAGTCTACAGTGTAGCATTATCTTTTTATATTCAATTCTTAGAATGGCTCCAGATTTATATATGGTAGGGAAAGAGGAGAACACTTTAGCAAGTACTCATATTCTTTGCTAATTCCTCATATAGACACTAAGACAATACAATTACCATATTTCAGGAAAAACATTCAAGCATTGTAGTGCCTGATATTACTTTTGTAAATATGAGCAGTAGATTTTTTTTTCTCCTAAATCATGGAACTATAGTATTTTCTGATAGTTTCCTTTTAAGTTCTATTAAGTGTGTGATAGATCTGCAGATTTTACTCAGGGGTGTAACATATGGCCAGCTACTTTGTATTTTTTTGGAAGTGTGACTATAGCATGGAAATCTATTCACTGCTTTAGCAGATAACATTTTTCATGTAGATTTCCATGTCAGATTATTAAATCAGAGTAAACTATATTTTATTTATGGTATTTAATTCTAGTTCGGGTACTTTAGTACTTCATGACTAATTGCTACTATATAAAGAGAGAAATGATTTTGAAAGTAGATACTACTTTAATCACGTGGGTAATTGGAGCATTTATGTAAATAAAAAGGCCCCAATGTTATTTATGGTAGATTCTCGCTTGTGTTACTATAAAAATGCAGCTAAGATTTTAGAAGACTAAGAAACTATTGATTTACAAATTAAAGCAACTGACTACAAATCGAATGAATTAAAACCTTAGTATGTAAAATAATTTTAGTAATACCTCAATTGTATGTAAAATTATAAAAAGTCATCTATCTTGTGAATTTGAGAAAGTTTAATGGATTGAAAACAATCCATCTTTCAGTTGTTATCTAGGTGATTTGAGATACCCATAGTTTGTAAATACAAGATTTGGTTGTTAATGTAAGAACTTCCAGTGAGAGTATTTGACTCACATGAATTTAGCCACTTACATAGTTGTAGGGATTACACTGTATAGAATAGGGCTATATAAGCAACTGTAGTTTAAATTTCACGTGCATGTAAATAAAGCATGTTTTGCCTAATTTTCTAGTTAGTTTCTTTGGAAATACTGTTTATATTGTACATTGCCAAAAAATGAATGAGTTAAATAATCTATTATAGAGAAAATTAATAATTCATTTTTTATACCAACATATTTGTGAGAGAAGCAATTTAATGTGTATTACCACAGTGCTCCCATATGTTTGAAAATTAATAACCAGCAGGTACTTGATAATTTGCCAAACTGAAAAATGCCCAGTATTCCTATAATAATTGGTTTAGATGTTTATTATTTACTCTTCCTCATGACAACATGAGTATTAAGATGTATTATTTTAAAAGTTGCCAAGTTATTTAACCAAGTTATTACCAAGTTGCAGGAAGCTTTTATGTATCCAGATTGCTTTATGGATACATTCACTTTAAAATATATAAAAGTAAAGTACTCCAGCAAGTTAAGTTGATATAAATGCTTTCAAAATCTAATTTGGAAACTGGGGATGTAGCTCAGTGGTAGAATGTTTGCCTAAGTACTAATTTGCTACACATATATTTTCATGTTTGCTTTTTTTTAAATTTAGTTAAATATTTTCTAATGTCTGCTTGATTTTGGTTTTTATCCTGAATTAGTGAGATATATTAATTAGTCCTAAGCGTTTGGTGAGTTTTAAGATGTTTTCTGTTGCTGATTCACATTCTATTGTAGTCAGATAATACTGTGTGCTGTTTGGATCTGATTAAATGTATTAAGACTTGTTTAATGACCCATTATGCCATGTCTTTGTAACTGTTTCTGTTGGGTAAAGCTGGTAGTAGTGGTTCACATCTTTGTTTTTCTGATTATATGTAGATTTATTTTTTAAAAACAATTATTAGTAGGAAAATGTTAAGACCTTCAACTTTAATTTTAATAAGTCTAGCTTTTCTTGAATTTCTATTAGCTTTTGTTTTATGTGTTTGAAGTTCTGTTATGATGCACTTAAATGCTTGGCATGGCTGTTTTTTTTGTTGTTTTTTTGTTTTTTGAGACAGGGTTTCTCTGTGTAGCTTTGGAGCCTATCCTGGCACTTACTCTGGAGACCACACTGGCCTCGAACTCACAGAGATCTGCCTGCCTCTGCCTCCCGAGTGCTGGGATTAAAGGCGAGCGCCATCAACCCCCGGCTGGCATGGCTGTTCTTTAAGGAAGAACTATAACATTTCTTCATTTATGCGTGTGTACACATGGTTGTGTGCATGGGTATGGAGGTCAGAAGACGTCTTGTAGACTTCATCTGTGAAGTTTAGTTTTGGTACTTGTTTTTTCTCATGTCTTTACTAGATTCTCAAACATGTGGAAATGTTTTAGTATTTTTACCTATCAATTTAGTCATATGTGAAATATATTTTCTTCATTACACATTGTATTTTTGTTTGTTTGCATGGCTAGTAGGTTTTGAATGCCAGACATTGCAAATTTTACATTACTGGGTATGTTTTTTCAGCCTCCTCCTCCTCTTCCTTTTTTAAATCTTTTTGTTTGAGATTTTCTACTCTAGCTCTTAAAAACAAGCAGTCATTCTGACTGTGTATGAAGACTGTTTCCTTTAATCTTTTGGAGGAGACTTTTCTACTTTCAAGGTAGTTTTTTTTTTAGAAACATCAGCTGGTCAGTAATCTGCTGAGTATTTTGGGAGACCTCTGTAGATGCACAAGTGTAGCAGGCTTTCTTTTGGGCCACCAACCAGCTCCCAAATCATGACATGGAGACTTACTAGTTATGAATGCTCTGCCTTAGTTTAGGCTTGTTTCTGGTTAGCTTTTAAAACTGAAATTAACCTGTTTCTCTTCATCTATGTTTTGACTCGCGGCTTTTTACTTTTCTTTCATTCTGTATGCCCTACTTTCCTGTTTCTTCTGTGTCTGTCTGTCTGGCACTGCCTGGTTGGCCCTGGTCATTTCCCTCATTCTCTCCTCCCACCCCCCCCCCCCCCCCCCCGCCCCCCCCCTCTGCCCACTAGCCCTCCTATTCCTGTACTACCTATCTATTGGCCATTCAGCTTTTTATTAGACCAATCAGATACCTTAGGCAGGCAAGGTGAAGCAACAACACATCTTTACATAATTAAATAAATGCAGCATAAACAAATGTAATGTGTCTTTGCCTAGTTAAACAAATGCAGCATGAACAAATGCAACACACCTTTAAATAAATTAATATTCTACAACATAAACAAATGTAACCATTTTTACATAAAGTAATATTTCACAACACATAAGTGATTTTTTTTCGTCATATCATCTCTCTTCTTTGGCACTATCATATGATTTTGAGCTTCTTTGGTTTCCCCAGAGTTCCAGTGCTATCTTCTCAACTCTGGGAGACAGCTGTAGTTCCTCTAGGTTTAGCCGCCTACCTCTGCTTAGAAACTGTAAGCAAAAGGCTGGGGCAGTTGCAGGGTTTGTCTTGGTTTTCAGTTTTCTAAGGGAAATTTAATCTGTAATTGCTTAGTAATATGTTGTTAATTCTTAATACACTTCATATATTTCTCACAGTCTTTGGGGAAGGTAACCTTGATCTGTTACTGAGTCCAAAGTGGAAGTCTCTAAATTATTACCATAGGCTTTTAGGAGTAGGATATTTTAAAAATTAGTGTGTACAGAACTCCACATAGTTTCATATCCTACCAAATTATGTTAGTGGTTCTGTACATATGTAGTAGATTTTTATAGTATGGTTCATTAAACATTTAATGCTGTATAGAGATTTATGAGTTAGTATTTTGTTAAAATCTTTTAAATGTTCTAACACACTTAAATCGCTTTGGTAGTTGAATTAAATCTTGTGTAAGTATTTTATACATACAAATTTCATGTGTTTCTGTTTATTTGCTAGGCCTTCATCCTCCAGGTCCACCTTTAGCAAGACCCGTTCTCCCCCGAGAACGAGGTGCTGTGGATAGAATTGTTGAATATTTAGTTGGTGATGGTCCACAGAACAGGTAATGTTTGCAAGGCTTGTAGATAAAGGGACATGAAAAAACATTATTCACCAGTGAATATTTGTGATGCTTTGTGGATTGTATTTGTACTTTTTAGCTCTGCTATCATATTAGAGAAATTGAATTATTTTGTTCAAACTATTAAACATGAAGTAAGCAAAAATAGCAAAAACCTGGTAGGTTAATGAGAAATGGATTTTTTAATGTGTATCACTGTTGGTGGTGGTGATGGAAATACTTCCAATAGTAATGAAAACAATTTGCATTATTTAGCTCTTACTGTTTTTCAGATTATTATATTACTTGGTCCTAACTATAATGTTCAAAGCATTTGTCATTGTGTGGGCTTTCAAAAACCTCATGGAATAGTAGAGAACATGTTTGACAGCTCTACTAGTTGGTATCAGTTTCATAAAGGGAACATAATTTAATGCTAACGTAAGTTGTATGTTATTCAAAACAGAATGCTTTGATTAAGCCAAGAATATCTTCTTATTAGAGAACAGAAAAATGAGAACAATGTTTAAGTGTAACTGATAATGAGAAAGTTATAAGAACAACATCATATAAATTTTTACTATTGGCCCTAATTATGTAGAATTAAATATATTTATTTTCTGCAAGATTTCTCAGGATTTCTCTTAATTTTATTTTTTATAATATTTATTGTGAATCTCTAAGAAGGTTCCATCATTTTCAATCTTATCAAATCACAAATTTGGAAGCTACCATCCCCAGGAATAAATTATTGAGAAACTTAGGTGTTTTGTTGCTAAACTTAAAAAAAATATTTTATTATTTTTAAGTTGTATATATGTATGTGTGTCTATGTATGTTAATGTAGGTACATGCAGAAGCTAGAGGCATGAATCCCTGGCTGCCTGATGTAGGTGCTGGGAATCAAAATCAGGTCCTCTGAAGAGTAGTATATGTTATGCTCTTAACTGCTGAGCCATTTCTCAAGTCCTAGATTACTAAACTTGCTTTTGTTAACTTAGGATATATTCAGCTGTACCCTAGTTTATTTTTAATATTATGTATAAACTATATGTATAGATGCCCTTATATACACATTTATTTACATAAATGTACACATTTAAATGCTTTATGTCCTGTGTTTATTTTTAAATATTTATTTATTAGATGCTGGGGAAAGAACTCAGGATCTTGCACATGCTAAGTAAGCATCATATCACTGAGCTACACTCCCAACTCTTAAATTATATTTCAAACTGGTTGAAATTTTGGTTTTGGCTAAAACTTCAGCTTTTGCTTAAGGAGTGTTTCTAATTATTTGCTAACATTTGTTTATTATGGCATAGTCATCTGTGTTTGATAAAAGTCACAATGGCTGAGTGGCCTCTCTGGTGATCTTTATTTGTAGTTGTAACCAGTGTGTTATTTTGCTGTGTAGGTATGCTCTCATATGTCAGCAGTGTTTTTCTCACAATGGAATGGCTTTGAAGGAAGAATTTGAATATATTGGTAAGGATTTTTGGATGATTATGTTTGAATATTTTACTTGTAAATATATCATTCTCATCCACTCCCATGTAATATCATTTTATTTTAGGTACTGTCTATACATATTGACCAGGAACATTGTCTCCTTACTTAATACTAAAAACAAAGGAAAAAAGCTAACTCAATTCCTTTTTATAATGCACAGCCTCTAGGTTAGCTGTTCTCAGATGTTCTGCTACCCACACCCACCTACTGTAATTAAATTCTGATTTAATTACTGGGGGTGGGAATTTAAGCATTCACATCTACTTTTAAGATCACACCAATTATTTTCACATGTGGCCATTATTAAATGCTCACATGATAAAGTATGCTTTAGAAATATAACATGTTACATCTTCTTGGACAAGATTCTGGTTTTAAAATATGTAATTATTCTATTGACTAGAAATGCAAATTCAGTCAAGTATTTAAGTAATTACTATTTTTATAGTTTTGCTGTTAAACTATTTAACTTGTTATACCATTTCTACTTTAAAATTAATAGTTGAATTCTCATAGTAATCTTGCATTATGCTCTAAAATTAATATTGATTAGCATACCTATTATAATAGGTTACGCATTCAGAAGTTATAAATTTATAACAAGTCTGACTATAAAAGTAATCTTGTGAGTTATCTGATTAGTTCTTGAAATTTGGCTGTTTTTTTTCTTTCTTTCTTTTTTTTTTTAAATCTATGCAGCTTTTCGATGTGCCTACTGCTTTTTCTTAAATCCTGCAAGAAAAACCAGACCTCAAGCTCCGAGACTTCCAGAGTTTAGTTTTGAAAAGAGGCAGTCAGTGGAAGGCTCAAGTTCAGCCGGTCCGATGTCATCAGAAAGTGTACCCTCACCAGAGAGCCAGTTCAGTGAAGGTATGAATATGTTAACTGAAATGTTTGTCTTGGTAACGTGTGTAGCCTAATAATAAGAGCATAATACTTATAATTATGACAATGGATTAATTTATCAAATTCTTCAGCATGCATATGTCAGCTGTTGCACTGATGGCTTCTTCTGTGATTGATGTGTTTTAGTTTTCAAATGCAGATCATGTTGTGGTCAATAGCATTTACCACCAGTTGACTAAGCTTTGTTTATGGAATGAACTCTTTAGAAGTCCAAGGGACTTGACTTGTGGTGTGCTCATGGAATCATTTTGATGTGTCTAAATGAAGCACTGAAATTATGAAACAACTGTTCTAAGGACAAAATATTTAGAGTATGTGTGGATAGAATAGGTGTGTGTCTACCACTCAGATTGGTAGAAATGACCAGAAAGCAGGAGACTTATGAATTGGAAAGACATCTTTGCATGTTTTGGACAACTTGGTTAATATTAAAAGCACTGTGTTTCATTTGGACAGTTTATTAGAAGTCCGTGAGCTTAACATTGCCTAATTAAAAAAAAATCATATTTTATAGAAGTTGTATAGAAGTAAGATTTATCAGAACTTGTGTTTTAGAATATTTCTTGTTAGTATATCTTAGGAATTCTTTTTTTTTTTTTTTTTTTTTTTTTTTTTTGGTTTTTCAA